AAAAAAAAAAAAAAAAAAAAAAAAAAAAAAAAAAAAAAAAATGACGATTGGTCTGAGTGGGGTTCTTCATCAAACCAAAACCGAAAAAGAACCCCTTGTGTTTTTTCCTTTTCTAGGAGATGCTATCTACATCTAAGTCGAGGGTTCAGCTAAAAATGGAAAGTTTTCATCACTTCATTCTTAATTCAGCAGGTTTTTAAAACGTGCAATAAAGCTGTCCTAAACGGTATCTTGTACAGAGAGAAGATATTGCTTCCATGTCAAACATTCCTAAAAACTTGTATTTGTATGTTGATAAAAGCATTTATGTCCATGAGATAGATGTGGATTAGGAGCTGTTTTTAAAAATTTCTCTTTGTTTCTCAGAACAGAAGCCGTCGAAAATTCAGGTAGCTAGTCATTAATCAATACTTTCTCCTAATTTTCTTTAGTTTGTTCTCACAAATGACTTATTTTTCACAACTAATGAAGATACTCATCCTCCTCCTAAACTCACAAACTTGTTACAAGTATACAGTCAATAACCCTTATTAACTTAAACGAATATTGAAAACAAAAACACAAAACTATTTTGATTACAGGATATTTCTATATCTTTAGCTAAAATGATCAAGAAACCTGACCTGTTACCCCATTTAGAATGCAAGTCCATAATCAATAGCTGTTCTTCAGGAGTTATATTGCCTCTCCGAACATCAGGCCGGAGATAGTTCAGCCACCGGAGGCGACAACTCTTCCCAGTACGTTTGAGTCCTACAAAGTTATAACAGCAAAGTTTCATATCTCAGCAGCATAAGAAGCCAAAATTTCTGTGCCAAGAAAGGAAAAGTCGAAAGAAACAGAGAATTTACCTGCAGCTTTGGCCAGTGAATTCCACACTCCTTCACCGTGGTTGGCAATGTAATTGATCAGAATCAAGTCCTCTTCCATTGTCCATGGCCCCTTTCTCACTTCATCATCATCCTGAGAAGAGCTTAATCTCTCTGTACCCATTCTCTAGTCTCTCACTACTTTCTTCTGGTTTTCTTAATGAGAGAGGTGTAGGAAGCTACTAATAAGATGTGGAGATGAATGAAGTGGGTTATATATAGACAGGGCAACCCAACCCATATGAAGAGAACTGTTCATTTTTCATGTAATTTCAAAAGGCTTTTAATATTTTACCTAACTCTCAACTCTTAAAGTGAAGGGTGTGTATGGATATGTATGTGCACCACAAAATAAGATGCTGTTTTCCATTCTATGCATGGCATACATCAATTGGTCAAATGATGGGGAAGGCAATTTTAGGGTGAGTATAAAGGGGAGGAGAGTTTGAAGGACAAATATGACTTTTTGATGCTTATATATATAGAAATATACCCAATCAAATTAGTAGGCTTAGGTCACTAGGGTTTTAAATAATAGTTTACAGCAACTGTTTTCAACACTTGTTTATCAAGTTGCTTCTCTATGAATTATAAGAAGGGATAGTTGTGGTGTTAATGCATGGTATTGAATACATTGATATTATGCGATGGTAACAAATGTTTTTTCTTTAAAAAAAAAAAAAAATCAAGTACATCATTTGAAAAACACAAATGGTTTTTTGTGTTCATTTGTTACCAAGAATGAATACTGAAGAATTGGTGCTAAATTTCAACAGTGTAGGGAAGAGGTGGTAATCTAGGGATCGCTTAGAAGTTCCTAAAAATGTTTTTCTAAAAAACATTTAAAGAAAAAGTATAATTAATCTAAAAATCAAGTCATTACTAAAAAAGTATAGGCTAACAGACATGCTTTGACCAGCTTTACTTCACTTTATCTTTTTACTTCAAACATATATATAACACAAGAGAAAACCCTTTCAAACTCAACTCCAAAGTTCAAACAACCTACCACTTCTTAAGAACCCAAAAGACCTATATGCAAAAGATTATGTCAAACTAAACATTGAAATATGATACGCTACATATACATAAACAGTTTGGAATGACTTTTCAAATGCTTAAAAATATATATCTTTTTTTAAAAAAAATTGCAAGAACACTTTTTTAAGCACTTGAAAAGTCATTTCAAGAGGCCCTTGTATGGAATATGGAATTTAGCTGGGTCAGAATTTTGTAATTACTTGGCAGGGAGTTGCAAAGACACAGCCGCCAAATGTCTCCGAAGTGCTACCTGATAAACAGTTGCATATATAATCATAATGTTGATGGCTCAAACCCAGATCATTCAGAAGCATGGAAGCATAAAACCGAACGAGGATGAATAATACCATTGTCCATGCACTAAAAAGTAGGACGATATTCTAACAAGTTAGAAAGAAAAACTACTAATTCGTGAAGCAGTCTCCTCAGGCATGTATGGCTGAAGTTAAACGGAGGAAATACTATTCATAAGCAAAGGAAACCTGTGAACTGGTTTGTAAATGTCTCAAGGTTCATGGGTTAAACTTTCTATATCCATTGTGGGTGGTGGCCATCCTTTCATGACCCTAAAAGAAAGTGACGTTGTTAAAGTTAAAAGGTAAGAGACCGTTGGCATTTACATCAAATTGGGACAATTCAAATTTTAAGAAATCCTTGAAATTTCCGCACTATATTCCTTCAAGAAAAAGTGAAAGCAACCCCATTACGATAACCTTTTTCACTAGATTTTAATACTTCACCAATTTTAGGAAGAGGGATCTGATCTGGATCGGTGGGCCAGCATCCGCCAGCTAGCCTTTCACGAAATTTTGTGCCGCAGAGGAAAATTAATGAGCCAGAGAGGCATAGACGAGGTTCTGCCACTGAACTTCATACCCAAGTAGAGAGACAAAGGAGATCTCAGAGACAACATAATATGATGACAAAAAAACTATGACAAGGTTAACTTCCCAAAGAAACTATAAAGGTTAGATAATTTTAGATCAAGCCGTAAGTACAAACAGAGAGTACACAAAGAAGTCTGGCTAACTTCAGCTGCTAACAAAACTTCTTGAGAAAACCGAACTATACCCCTAATCATCGCCAAATTTTACCCACAGTCCAGTCTGACAGTCAAAAACCTCAGCTGCTTCATGCCTGTAAAAAGAAAAAAGGGACGCTAATAGATTTGCAAATGATCTTCGAAATGAAAATTGATTCTGAAGAGGCGCATATTCATTCATAAAATGAAATATACAAATGGAGCTCTACAAGCAAAAAGATTACAAGATTAGCTTCTTTTTATGACTCTTAATTGGTATGTGTTGTCCTTTTTTCTGATTAGCCTCCAATTCATTTGGACAAGTGGAAAAGCTTTTAACGATTTTCAAAGAAAATATTCAGTTTCCACTATTTAAAGATTAAGGCCAATATCCAAACATGAAGCAAATTTTTTAACTAAAATATTGTGAGAAAATGAGATTTAAGATGGTCTCAATAGATTTTTGTGCTTACCTTGCTAGCAATATTGTTGGAAAGCCAGTCTAAACCCTCGTATAGACCCTCTCCAGATGTTGCACAGGTGCTCTGGATGTACCTGAAATGAAATGTTAATTTACATATTAGCACAGATGCTGCAGACCACGGTTCTTAACTCCTAACAGCATAAGAGAACGTTTCCAATATATACATTCAGGTAAATAGAAATATCAACTAGAAATTTTAAAGACTTTGACTTGAATGATAGATATTTAAGCAATAGGCTCGGAGCTTAAACAGGGACATGTTAGATAAAATATGTTCCTATATCCTTTTATTTTTTTTTTTATGAAATACCAGCTTTCATGGGGTAGGATGAAAGAATACCAAGGAAGCCAACAAAAAAAAAAACATATGGTATAATAAGGTGCTTAATCTTGCCACAAAATCTTTATGGTGGATTTTGTGGTGGATGACATGACTGTACCATACATGTTTTAGATTTAGGGAGGTTTCATTGCATTTTTCAATTTTAGAGAATTGTTTTTAAGGTTTTAAGTTACACTTAGTAAGTGGTCATTATGGTATTGATGGGCATGAGAGTTATAACCTTTCAATTGACCATATGTTATTTCAAGGTTTGTTTTCAAGGCTATAAATAGTCATTCATTCATGTTATTGCTTAGTATAAAGATTTTGGGTATTAAAATGAAAGTTGCATATTATGCTTCTTAAGCCATGATCTTGTTCCTGGACATTTCTTGTGTTTAGATTTGCAGGCTAAAGTCATTCAAGTACTTTTGATCAAATTATTTTGTGAAGTGATTCAAATCACGAGTTTTTAAACTCTTGATCTTGATGATCAAGGTAATTTGTTCAAAAACTTTCCCTTGAGTTGATTCTTTATTGTTTTTTGAGTTCTTGAATAATTAGATCTAAATATTTTGTTCTTTAATAAGGTTGTTAGATTGAATCCCAAGAGTTTCATGACAACGTTAGCCCAACAAAAAAAGTCGAACAAACGAACAAACTAGCTAACTATACAAAAAAGGGCACAACCTAAGAAAATAAGGATTAAGGGATAGTTACATTATTTTTAAAAAAAAATAAAAACATCAACTTTCGAGTTAAAAAATGAAAAAAATATGGGAGCATACAAAAACCAAGCCCACAAAGGGGAGACCACGAAAGGGAGAGACTCCAACTATGCAAAATAATGGCTATAGAATAGTTACAAAAGGATTTCAACATGAAATTAGACAAGGAACCAAACATCACTAGTGTCTCTATCCACACCTCTAAACACTATTTATTTCTCACTCCTCAAAGATCCTACAACAAAACACACATCCCAACAAGCCATAAGAACCGGCCCTTTTCACGAAAAGACAGAGTTGGAACTCCTCTATCATATTCTTACCCTATGACAAACAAACAAAAATTTGAACACCTAAAAGAAGTAGTTCCAAACAGATCTCGCAAACTCACATCTCCAAAGAATGAAATCCAGATCTTCCTCTGCCTTCCAACAAAGAATATAACCAAAATGAGCCAACTAACGAGGGCAACTTCTTCGAGAGACAAACTCACTAACGGAAGAAAAGTCCAATGAGCAAAGAAAGAAGGATTTACAATGGAATGCCTCCAAAGGATTGGGATTCCAAATACAAATATCTCTTCTCCGAAGCCTAAAATCATACTCCCCAATAAAAGATAAGAGAGAGACAACATTCATCGCTCCCCTATCAAACAACAAGCGATGGAAACCAAATGAGAAAGAACCCAAGCTCCGCCACCAAACCAGAAAATCAGTAACCAAACAATTTTTGGGAAAACAAATGATAGAAATGGGGAAACATAGAGCAGAGTGGTCGATCCCCCACCCACTGATCTTCCCAAAAATATATTTCCTTCCCCTCCCTTATCACTCGATAGACCAAATGGGAGAATGAAGGGAGCTCATAAGAAATATACTTCAACAAGTTCCGATAACCTCTGTGTTTAGTTAAACAATTCTTTAAAACAGACACCTAAAGGGAAGAATTAAATCTATAACAAGACCAAACTTCTTCCCCAAACCTCTCATCACCATTGAAAGTTCTCCTATTTTACCCCCAGAAAAATCCCCCATTGAAGATTCTTCTGTATAATTTTACACGTGACACTGCTTTTCCTTTCAATTATAATGAATCATACGCTGTAAAGAATCAAGCTACAAATTTGAAAGACCGTTCTCAAATATTCTAGGAACACACACCAAAAATCAGGAGATAGAAATTATTGAGTGTTTAGTGATTTGGAGAGGAACCTCAGTAACGTTTGGTCTCTTGTCAGATTTTATATTTCTCTTCGATCATTGATTTCAAAAAGCTTTTGTAACTATTCTATAGACACTATTTTTCATAGTTTGAACCCCTTCCTTTAGTAGGGCCCCCTTTTGTGGGATTGATTTTTTTGTATGCCCTTATATCCTTTCATTTTTTATTCTTAATAAAATTTATTTTTTAATATATATATATATATATATATATATCCTGATCTCTTTAATCCAATTTATGCACACTATTATGCATGGGTAACGGGTTCTGGAACATTAAAAGAAATTGAACCAGTGAAGCACATAAGTGAACAAAAACAAAAATTATTATGCAAAAATAAATCATAGCTTCATGAGAAATAAATAATCAAACAAACAAAATAAATTTTTTTACCAGTGGCGTTGACGAAGTGAATGAAGACCAAGCTTGTCAGTTATTTCAGCAGCATTCATCGCATTAGGAAGGTCTTGCTTGTTGGCAAACACGAGCAACACAGCATCTCTCAGTTCATCCTGAAGCCATTAAGTTTGGAAACTCAGCGTCTGTTTTCTTTAAGTTTGGCAGACTCCAAGAAATTATGTATAAAGCTAACAAAACAGAAAAAGTTTCAAATATTACAAGGAAAGAGAATTGCTGCATCAATAAGAGGCAAAAAAAATATAACAGAAACGCAAGGATGGCAGGGGAGTATAAAGAGAAAAATGAAAACTTATACAGCGTCACAAGTTTTTCCACTTGGAACATATTGAGGCCAAAATAAGAAACATGCAGTTCAGTAAGTTCTAAATTTTCCTGTCATTAGTGCCCAAAGTGAGCAAGATGAACCAAAAGCATGTAATGATAAATCTAATTGATATTATTTCTTATATATATATATATATATAGAATCTAACTAATATTCTTATCCAAAAATAAATAGATCTAATTAACGTTAAATCAGTTCCAAGAAATTTCAAACAACAGGAAGGAACCTATGATATGATAGTAATACATTTAGCCATAAATTTTAATCTGAAACAGAAAGCAAGTTCAATTGTATAGGGAAAAAATAAAACAGGGCGATACCTCATTTAACATTCTATGCAATTCATCTCTTGCTTCAACAACACGATCCCTGTCATTGCTATCCACCACAAATATAAGACCCTGTGTGTTTTGGAAGTAATGCCTCCACAGTGGACGAATCTATTCAATTGGTAAATAATAATAAGTGAATCAGTTTCCATCAGATTTATCCAGATACACAAATAACTCATCACAGTCGTGTAGAAAAATCGAACACATAAAATGAATACTGAGGAGGAACCTCAAATCTCAATTATGGCACTGACTAGCAAGGTAGACACTTGATATTGAAAAATAATGGGTCCATGAAACAAGCATAGAGAATTGAGAATTTAATAATGAGCAGCAACATCTTTTACTAAGTAACAATATTCATCAAGAGAGGAGAGAAAAGAGAAAAGAGAGATGCATACTTTGTCCTGACCACCAACATCCCATACAGTGAAGCTGATGTTCTTATATTCCACAGTCTCCACATTAAATCCTGATAAAAGAAAACACGGCAACTCCATGATCTATATTATACGATTTGGTATAGTACTTCAATATTGCGCAAAGAATACATCAATAAGCACACAAATAATCTCACAATACTAAAGACAGAGCCATCGTGAACCTAGAATAACAATCATAGCTATAAAAAAACACTTCAATATCTTTTATTTTCTTAAAGGAAAAAAAAAAAAAAAAAAAAAAGTATGCATGATGTACTGGAGAAAAATATGAAAATCAATCCAATGCGTGAAGGTTCCCACGAGAACCAGTCCCAAAAATGAGTAAAAATAATTCGAATTAAGCAATCAAAATTTGACATTTCATGCAAAAGGTTTTCTAATCAAAGAACTCACCAATTGTAGGAATGGTTGTGACTATTTCTCCGAGCTTGAGCTTGTACAAGATCGTGGTCTTTCCGGCAGCATCAAGACCAACCATCAAAATGCGCATCTCTTTCTTGGCGAAAAGCCTGCTGAAAAGTTTGGTGAAGGTCAACCCCATTTCTACTTTGTTTTAGCCGGCTATTTCTATTTGTCTGAGGAGCTGATACAATAAAACCACAAAAGTGATCAAATCAAGCAGTATACAAACAACGAAGAAACCAAAAAACTAGAAATCAGGAAGAGAATAACAAATAAAAATTAGATGATTGTTAATTTTCGGGAAAGCAAAATTGAGATCCCCATCACAACATCCGCGATAAATCAAACAAAAATCCAAAAACTAGACAAAGATCGTCCCACAAAGCACAAACTACCATCATAAGAAAATCCAAAAACAAAAAATCCCGCTAGATTTCCTTTCCTAGTGAAGAATATGAATTCAATTTTCAGAAACAGAAAAAGGCCAAAACAAAACTATTAAACGCCTCGAAACCTTGGAACAAAAATCGCAAGAACATGAAACATTTGAACAGATTTCACAAGCAATTACAAAACTCAATGCATCAATTGCAAGAACATATGCAAGATGAATAAGGGTTTGGGAGAATACTGGAGCTGGAGAATGGCGCGCAGTGGAAAACTCTGAACGAGAGGAGAGCCGAATGGAAAAAAAGTACGTTAACCGCCGTCTGTTTTAAGCCCGCGGTTTCTCTTTCTCCCTTTGATTCAGGTCTTCTGTTAAGTAACTCTCCTCCCCGGTCTAAAAAGTATTTTGGTTTATTAAACTTAATACTTGATGTGACATTTAATTTTTTTTTAAAAAAATTATTAATATATCAAATTTCCGAAACAAAAATAATAATAATTTGACAATTTGATCTGTAAATAAATATCGATCATAATTTTATTTATCATTTTCTATTTTAGATTTCGTGTTTATCTCTTTAATATTTGGAAATATTTTGTAACGTTTAAATTATAAATTTCAGTTTTAAAAAATTACAAATTTTACTCTATCAAAATCTTAATTACTATTTAATGAATTTCTAAAAATTTAGCTTTTTAATTATTATAATTAATTTTCTTTTCTTAACATTTAGATTTTATTTAATTTTTATATTTAAATAAATATGAGAATGAGCGGAAGAAACAAATTATTATTCAAAGTAATGGAGTAATGTTTATATTTTATTTAATTTTTATGAAACATGTTACATTTTTAATAAATTTTACTTTATATTTTATTTTCTTAATGTACAAATTAATATGTAGGTTTTTTTTTATTTGTTATTTTGAAAAAAAATCATTTAACCTAATTTGGGTCTATTATATATATATATATATATATATTAACTACCTCGTATTTTGGTTATTAGCTGATGGAAAATCTTATCAATAATTAATATTGTTTCAACAAATATTCTATATACAAAATAATACATTAATTATAAGAGAACAATAAAAATAAATAAATATTTTAATACATTAATTATATTAAAGAAAGATAAAGCTATATTTCTTTTTTTAAAAAGGTTATACATTTAGCTTAAATAAAAACTTAAATGGTGATTCAAAATAGTTAATTTATTTTATTTACGAATGTGAAATAAAAAAACGTTCAATTAAACAGGGGAATGAGAGAAGGAGCAAAGAGATTACAGAATTTCCGATTAGACGAGGAATAAGAGATTATTTTTCCACATAATTCCCGTGAATTTTTTATGGAGAATCTTTATGTCCGACCCTCACAAAATTTAATTAATCTTATTAGGGTAGTTTTTGAGATAATAATAATAATAAATATTTATTATCATTTGAGACCAAGGATTGGAAATTGAGTTGATGTTGACCAATTACATGATTTATTTGTATGCATGTTATTGTTTCTTGTCTTATTTTAGCTCTATCTTTGTCTTAATCCTTAGACAGTGAGGATCATAATTTTTTTCTGTAATATACTACTCTTGGAAATTTAAAAATTACATAATTTATCTCTATATTATTATATTAAAATACACGCGTGATTTAATACAAAAATAAAAACTCTAATCTCGTTTGTCTTTAGATGAAACGAGTCAAAAAGACATTGAATTTTGAATGGTCAATGAATAAAAAAGCGACCTTATCCCTATATTAATTTTTAAATAAATTCTTTGAACAATGAACCACTCAAATACAAAACTCACCATCAAGATTTACATTGTCAGTTACCGAAAGTAAACAAAATAAATGTCCGTGTGGTATGCTAGATGATCCAATTCATTTCTTTTTAATTTTATAGTAAAATGATCGTGCAATTTGACCTAAATTGATATTATAAAATTCATCAGCTATTGGTTGTTTCCAGGGGACAGTCGTGGTCATACCGACGTAGAGGTCCCAACTTTGAACCTTTGAGTGATCTTAATACAAACAATCTTTGATATCTCTCAGGACCAAGCCTTGAGATAGTGGCGGGTGTCATCCATATTTAAGGAAACAAGACATAAGAAATCATCTACCCACGGCTCGATTCAGTCGAGTTTGTTTATGTATAGAAACACATTTACGCACAACATTCCTTAAATTAAAAAAAAAAAAAAACTGATTAAAATCAGGTTGGAATTTCTGCCTCTAATTACTTGGTATTAATACAAAGAATAAATGGAAAGGAAAAAGGCATTGATTTATACAAGCAATTAATTAAAAAAAAAATAAAATTATCGAGTACATTCCATTGTACCATATCCATCTCCCTCAAATGTCTCCTGACCGTCTGATCAGCCAACTGTATTTATTAAGATGATCTGTAATTTTTTATTATTAAATAAAGCATGAAAGTTAACGAAGACCATAACAATGCTTCCACGTCTCCTTCAACATGCATTCCCCAAAAATTTCCCTAAAATACAAGCCTTTATAACGACCTAATGATGATTTTTTTATTTTCTTTTTTATTTTTTAAATTTTTATTTATTATTCATTGAAAATAAAAATACACAAGAGAGGGAGATCAACAGTCATGATCAACAAGCAATATGATCCGTTGGATCAAAAATTATCCAACGGCTATAGATGCTATGGGGTCCACTACCTTTGCCTTTCCTCCCTAATAAAACCCTGTAATTACATTGCTATCTGATAGCCATTTTCATTCACATAAAAAAAGGGAAAAAAAAAAACAACATCCTTTGATCTTGTTTTTTGTTCTTGTTCTTCTACTTGTGCTTCTGCTGCATGGAGTTTGATTCCAACTTCAAAGATGACCTTCCCCTCCTCTCCAGCTTCTTCTCCGACAAAGCGGAGTCGAAACCGCCCCTCGACGACGACGACGACCGTGAGTTCTCGGGGATGGAATTAGGCTGCTCACCATCATCATCCAAGGGTTTGTTCCAAAGTTTACTCGATCATCATCATCATAATAACAATCACTTTCAATATCTTCATCAATACTTCCCCGTCGTCAACAGATCCGATTCGATCGATAATAGTAATAATTCTCATTACGATCTCGATCATCATCGCCGTCGTCTTGACGGGTCATTACAAAGCCTTCTTTCTGAGATGCCAACCCAATGTTTTGATCCAAAATTTGAAGCTTTTAGCAATGAAGCCCCCAAAGATCAGAGCTTTGAAAGTGGGGCCAAGTTCATGCATGGGTTTGCGGGGTCTGGGGGTGTTTGGACGAATTTTCCCGGAAACTTTATGCCTCAATTTTCTCAGCCGCCAAACAGCCATTTAGGGTTGGGATTGTCAGACACCATTATTGGGTATGATCACATCAAGAAGCGAAAAAGAATTCAGCTAAGAAAGGAAAACAAGCCTCCAAAGAAGCTTCCGAACATTATAAAGGGACAGTGGACTCCTCAAGAAGACAGGTAAAATCAAACGTTAATTCTTTGTGTTTTTTTTTTTTTTTTTT